CAGTGAAAAAAATCACAATATATATACAAATACATTCAATGACAATACAGAATGGAAACAGTAATAAGAGTATAAACAGACATGTATATAAACTACATGTATGATGTCAGTGACAACACCAACATGCACAGTTAAAATAATGACTAGAAAAAAATTAACTGACAAAACTGACATCCATATTGCTGATAATAAATACAAACACAAACAATGCCAACACTAAAATGCACAGTAATCAAAATGACTACAAACAAATAGTGACAAAACTGACATACACAGTGCTCACAATAAATACAAACATAAACAGTAACGACACAAACATACACTGTGATCACAAAAAATACAAACCCAAACACTGACAAAACAAACATGCACAGTAATGATTATGGTTATATACAAACAGAAGGACAAACAGACTTTAACAGTGATCAAAATTATATGAAGACATTCAGTAACAATACAGAACAGACACAGCAAAAAGAATATTAACAGACACATAGAGATACATAAGATAAACAAACACACAGGGATACAGTGACAAAACAATCATGCAGAGTAATAGTAAAGATTACAAACAAATAGAGTGACAAAGCTGACATACACAGTACTCACAATAAATAAAAACAAGCACAGTCAAAAGACAGACATACAGACAGTGTACAGTGGCAACAGTAATGTTAGCGTTAGCGTATTATATGATGGGCTAGGGGATTTTGCCAATAGAGGGGTTAGTGTGAGAGCTAGTTTATTTTCATACCACTTGGTATGTATTCCCACTCACAATATGATGATGTAGAGGTATGACCCTTTTAAGCTCAAGAAGTAGGGGTAAACTTACAGTTAATAGCAATGAATTTATTTTGTTTAGGTGTTATCTTGTGTGTGTGTGTGTGTGTGTGTTGTTTTAAGGAATCGCACATATAATATGAGAACCGAATAACTGAAATGAGTTGAAACAGCATTAGAAGGAGCAGATTTGTGCACTGTATAAATTAACGTTATTATTTATAAGCATTTTCACATGATTATTTTAAAATGAATGTTTGATAAAGATAACGTTTCAGGGTATTGACTTTGGCAACTGAGGAAGTGGGGAGGGGGGGGGTCATTGTACTGAGCTGGCGCAATGCCAACATACATGTATATGCATGTAATTAATTTTATTCATTTCCACATATAATATAAATGGGCAAAACAATCCACATCATTATACATATTATAAAATGAATATTATATTATTTATAAATGGGCAAAACAATCTGCACAATCAAAATATAGGCCTACATGTTACATTAACCAAGTTTATAGGCTACAAGTTGGGAATTAACGATGTTGTCAGGGGAATTAGTACGAGTACCCCCCCCCCCTCCCCGTTAATTTATTCTTTTGTAGTTGAAATTGTTAGTTACATCTATGAACTTAGATAATCTGAGGATACATGAAATTAAATGGCTTAATTACACTTTACTAATCAATTTCAAATGAATAACATGCAGTGGCAGATTTAGGGCCAGGTGTGTGTTGGGTCCCGACTCCCCCCTTCGATGTCTGTAAAAAAATAACATTATGTTGAGAAAAGTGGGAACAGTGTGGGTTGATTTGTCCCATATATATAGTTTATAATGATTAACCTGTTAATTGTTTCTTGGCACCGATTTGTATATTTGATGCTAGTCCAGGAAGCAAAAAAGATATAACTGTTATTCTGCTAATTTATTGCCCACCAATGAAGTAGAATTAAACAATTTAATTGATCCATTCTTACCAAGACAAATGTTCAAAGCAAAAATATAGTGGTATGCTCAGATGCTTTATTTACTACTTTTAAAATGTACATGTAGTTCTGTCTCATTTTTGTACTAGGTACCTAGCAATCTCTCAGGACGTATAAATGTTTAATCAAAATCAAATCAAAATCAGAGATTCAATATGAAAGACATTTGTTGTAGATGGATATTTTTTCTTTTGTTTAAACACTCCTTTTTGTTAATTCAATTTTGTTTTGGTGTTTTTTCCTGTTAGGAATCCTGTAACTTAGATTGTAGAAGTGAATAATTTGTTCACTGGATGCTGTTTTACTGAGCCACGCATATATTATCCACCGAGCCTAAACCTGTGAAACATTGGGTCAGGAGTTTTGCACATGCATGCTCGCTATTAAGCAATGTCGTTGGTTACCAAATAATAGCAAAAACTAAATAAGTGTATTCCCCCCCCCCCCAAAAAAAACAAAAAAACAAAAATACATTTATTCACATAAGTCTTATAATACTTTTAGCATAACTATGTCACCCACAGAAAAAATAGTTTGAAAAAAAAAAGGAAGAAAAAGATACAGTTTATAAAGAAAGTTTAAATAAATCTCCGTCATGGCATATATTACACATACATACTTATATATATATATATATATATATATATATATATATATTAGATTTATATTTTACATTGAATACATTGTAAACAACTTGGACAAATATAACAAATTCTATTTTACCACCAAAATGGTGGTTCTTGCAATTATTCTGGAATCTGTGCTTGCCACTAAACCATATGTGACCTTCAATCTTCACAGATGATTAACCTCTGATAATCTCTTAAGAGATGGGGGAAACACTCTAAATTATTAGTACCACCAGCATGTATGCTGGCAATACTCATGGTTTTAGTGACACTCGTTTGAATGCGCCCTTGTCATAATTTTTGAAAATTCAGTGCTAAATATCTCTCAAACCGAAGGAATTATGGGAAAAATTACTATAGAAGTCTGACCAAAAGTCATGTGGAGATTCCAAATATGCCCTTAGATTTTACTTTCGACCTTTATTTCAGGGTCAAACAGGCTCTTAGGTGCGTGTACTGCAGGTAATAAAGAGACCTTCGATTTGGAACTGGAAAAAATTTTGCAAACCACCCAAAATTAATTTTATTTTAATTAAGAATTTAACTGTATTCCTGATTCTCATAAAATTAACTAAGAGGGCTCTGGCATAACTTAAGTGGCTCTTTTACTTCACTTGCACAGTTTTGTTCAGATCTTAAATAATTTTTCCCACAATTATATAAAAATGGAGACATAAATACAGTACAGTATTATACCCTTAATTCAGATGCTAGTGCACATGACTTTTTAACAAGTCCATCATCCAGACACCACTTTCAAAAATATATCAACAGCATCCCATTTGCACTCTATACAAAGGGTAATAATACAAACATATAAAAAGATGTAATGGAACCTCCACAGTTAATGCAAAATTTTGAACCAATGTTCTTCATATATAATATTTGATATAAGTGTATGGCAGTATATAATAATAACACAATTTCCAGGATTTGGTAGTAGTAGCCTCTTACAGAATTATACTGGATCCATTATCATTTCTGCATTAAATAAAGACATTGCAGTTATAATCACTGGGCCAGTTAAGATTCCCTTTTGCACTTGTACAATTAAAAAAACTGTCACAAGTGTTGCATTATGACAAAATTAACCTGCTCTTATGCCCAATAGGTATTATTTTGAAATGCCTTTTGTCTGCAACAACTGAAAATCACGAAAAAGATACTATTAGTTATTAGCATTAATCATCAAACCAAAGGGATAACACAGCGACATGTTTTTATGTGTCAAAAACTGTGAGATCCTTAAAGGCTTTCTCTGGGCATAGTAAACTTTTAAGCAATTTAATGAATTTGCCAACTTAATCCATAAATTTAAATATTAATGCATTTCTTGAAAATAAATAAGAATACACATTACGTCTTTCTTAGAATTACATTTTTGGTATTTTAAATGTAACATCCAACTCTTACTTGTAAATTAAAATATCTCAATTCTCATTATTATTATTATTATTTTGACAAAATTAAATTCCATATTCATACCAATATTTCTTAAAATCAGAATAAATATAGCTTAAGCACTAAAAAGTCTTGTGGGAGATCTTTGGTGTTTTGTCCAATCCATATTCCAACAGGTGCTCCACTGCCTGAATAAAAAATAAAAAATGATAACAAAATTACTATTAATATACCAGGAAAAAAGGAACATCCCTACACAATGTTTTAATGTATATATACAAATGTGTCTATACAAAGTTAATTTTGTTGTTCAATACATTATAGATAAGTTGTTGTTGTTGTTAATACTTCTATCATTATTATATTTATCAATTCTAACCAAATGTCATGATTTTCCATGTGACATTTAATGTTGTCATTTTATTGCACTTTGTTATGATTCTTACCTTCTTACCCCTGTTGCTAATCATAATATCCAGATAACTGTCAATTACCTAAAACATAAAGCATGTAACAGTTATATATTTCATATTAAAAAAATCAAACAGCAGAAAGAGAGATTAACATCTTCATAGGTTGAGTACATAGTAATCAGTAACAAGGCAAATGCTGTAAGGCATAATTTGAGTCCATGTAGCTCATTTTAACAATAGATATAGATGTGATTCTTATATTTTACCTGTGTAACAAAACTGTTTACGTACTTTATCAGCAAGCATCCCATTAAAAGATGTTATGCTATCATGTGTAATATGATGGGACTCGATGTTCTTTCCAAGTGTTATGTTGGTGCTTTGTGGAATGACAGCATCTTCAATGATAACTTAAAACTTTTATAATTTCAAAGTGGAGAAAACATTTGTTATATTTATAATATAAAAATATGATTGATTATGGTATTCATTTTAAAATAACACTTATCTTACAAATTGCACCATTCCATAATACATTAAACTGTTCTCCTAACTCAAATGTACAGCAAGCAACTCAGAAAAAAATAATTAAAAATAAGAATAAAAATTATGGTCTGCAGTAATATGATTATTACAAAATCCGCAGATAAAATTGACCAACTTTGAATATCGGGTGTCAGTTTGTCACCATTGACCATGAAAAACAACTAGATGGCTACACTTGTAGACTATGAAGAAGAAACTGAACTGGCAAACAATTTATGAACAGATAGAATTTAAAAAAGCAACTCTAGTTTTTAAATCATTAAAAGGACATTCACCAAAATACATCAGGGACTTACTGGGTACATGTACCAGTACTACGACCATGGACCATGGACAGACAGAATCATCTGATTACGTAATAAGGGAAATCTCTGGCAGACATAAAGACACAATTAAGGCCCAATATGGGCTTTGGATGAAATTGGAATTGCTTTAACTCTCAAATTAAAAACTCCAAAGACTTGGATACTTTAAAAATATTTTTAAAAAATCAAAAGTATAAAGTATAAATCTATTATATATATAATATATATGTGTGTGTGTGTGTGTGTATGTGTGTGTAAGATAAATGTATACACATACCGTATCAAGCTAAACGTGCAAAGAATTCTTTGTCCAAGTGGAAATTAACTAACACCAGTCTTGCAACTTCAAAAATAAAAGTGATCACTAGATTTATCTCTATCTTTCGCACGCACGTGCACACACACACACACACTCACATGAAAACACGTAAACATAAATCTAAAGAGCGACCTTCATTGCTGTTAAATTTACAGGCTATATTCAGGTTAATGTCTACGTCATCATATTGTGAGTGGGAAAACAGTGCACCAAATGGTATAAAAAATAACTAGTTCTCACACGAAGCCCTCTATTGGCAAAATCCCCTAGCCAATCTTATAATATGCTAACCGTTCAACATAATGAGAATGAACACAAACAAAAAGAGTGAAAAGGAAGTTGTACACAGTCATCACAATATATATATACAAACACATTCAATAACAATACAGAATAGATACAGCAAACATAAAATAAACAAACACAAAAGCATACAGTTACAAAACCATCATGCACAGTAGTAATAATGAATATAAACAGAGTGACAATCTGACATACACAGTGATCAAAATATTAACATATACAGTGATAATAGTAGCATGCATCACAATGAGAATGAAAACAAGGAAAAAGAGTGAAAACATAGCTGTAAAAAGTCATCACAATATATATAAAAACATTCAGTAACAATACAGAATAGACACAGCAGACAGAATATAAACAGATACAAAGAGATACATAAGATAAATAAACAAACAGGGATACAGTGACAACACAATCATGTAGAGTAATAGTAAAGATTACAAACAAATAGACTGACAAAATTGACATATACAGTGCTCACAATAAATACAAACACGAACAGTGACAACACAAACATGCACAGTAATCAAAATAAAAGAGTGAAGACAAAGTCATACACAGTCATCACAATATATACAAACACATTCAGTAACAATACAGAATAGACACAGCAAACAGAATATGAACAGACACATAGACGTACAGTGACAATTTTACACCGTCATGCAGAGTAATAGTAATGATTACAAACAAATAGAGTGACAAAACTGACATACACAATACTCACAATAAATAGAAACATCAACAGTAACAACACCAAAAAACACAGTAATCAAAATAAATACAAATAAACACAGTCCCAGTACAGACATACACAGTAATTAGAAACAAATTTCACATGTACAGTGACAACAGTAATGTTCAACGTAATGAGAATAAACACAAGGAAAAAGAGTGAAAACGAAATCGTACACAGTCATCTCAATATGAACAAACACATTCAGTAATAATACAGAATAGACATAGCAAACAATATAAACAGACATATAGATATACAGTGACAACAACATCATGCAGAGTAATAATAATGAATAAAAAAGAAATAAGAGTGACAAAACTGACGTACATAGTGCTCACAATAAATACAAACACAAACAGTAACGACACCAACAAACACAGTAATCAAAATAAATACAAACAAATAGTCAAAATACAGACATACACAGTGATTAAATAAAATTTGAAATGTATAGTGACAACAGTTACGTTCACCATAATGAAAATAAACACAAGGAAAAAGAGTAAAAAACATAGCCGTACACAGTCATCACAATGTATACAAACACATTCAGTAACAATACAAAATAGACACAGCAGCAGAATATAAACAGACACACACACATATAGTAAATAACATCATCATGCAGAGTAAAAGTAAAGATTATAAACAAATAGAGTGAGAAAACAAATAGACACAGTGGTCACCATAAATACAAACACGAACAGTGACAACACAAATTAAATACAAACAAATTAAAGCAATCAAATTAAATACAAACAAACACAGTCAAAATATAAACATACACAGTGATCATAATAAATATTGATGTGTACAGTGACAAGAGTAATGTTCACCGTAATGAGAATGATCAAAAGGAAAAAGAGTGAAAACAAAGTTGTAGACAGTCATCACAATATATACAAATACATTCAGTAACAATACAGAATAGACACAGCAAACATAAGATAAACAAACACACAGGCATATAGTGACAACACCATCGTGCAGAGTAATAATAATTATTACGAAGAAATAGAGTTACAAACTGACATACACAGTGATTAAAATAAATATTAACATGTACAGTGATAATAGTAGCATGAACTGCAATGAGAATGAACACAAGGAAAAAGAGTGAAAACATAGCAGTAAATAGTCATCACAATATACATAAACACATTCAGTAACAATACAGAATAGACACAGCAGACATTATAAACAGACACATAGATATACATAAGATAAACAAACACGCAGGGATACACACTTACAACACAATCATGCAGAGTAATAGTAAAGATTACAAACAAATAGTGACAAAACTGACATACACAGTGCTCACAATAAATACAAACAGGGACAGTGACAACACAAACATGCACAGTAATAAAAAAAAATAAAAACAAGCACAGTCAAAATACAGACATACACAGTGATTGGAAAAAATTTGAAGTGTACAGTGACAACTGAAAGTTCACCATAATTAGAATGAACACAAGGAAAAAGAGTGAAAACGAAGTCGTATACAGTCATCACAATATATACAAACACATTCAGTAACAATATACACAGAATAGACACAGTAACCAGAATATAAACAGACACATACACATACAGTGACAACACCATCATGCAGAGTAATAGTAATGATTACAAAAAAATAGAGTGACAAACCTGACATACACAGTGATCACAATAAATACAAACAACAACATTAACAACACCAACAAACACAGTAATCAAAATAAATACAAACAAACACCATCAAAATACAGACAAACACAGTAATTAGAAAAAAATTTCACATGTACAGTGACAACAATAACAATAACAATAACGTAATGAGAATGAACACAAGGAAAAAGAGTAAAAACATAGACATGTGCACAATAATCAAAATAAATACAAACAAACAGCCACAATACAGACATACACAGTGATCAGAATAAATTTTAACATGTACAGTGTTTATGCTCAATATATGTTTATTATGTTCAATATTTGTAATATTTGTTTACATTTTTGTTCAGTGCAATTTAACAATGCTCAGTATTTGAAACGAAAATCATTACAAAATACAACTAATGTATTCCTTATTGTATTTGAAACCTCACTTGTTCTGTTCATGCTCGACATATATTTATTATAATCAGTATTTGTGCTCTTGATACTTGTGCCAAAGTGAATGTTATTACAACTCCACATAAAATTCAATGCAGTATTTCTGCTAAACATGTATTTTGACACTGAGAAAATCAAATTGAATCTGTGCCAAACAGGTGTCCATTGCATTTTGTCATAATAATAATCCTTATTTATCTAATGTTGATTACACTAATGAACTGCATATCTGGTTAATTTTATAGCAGCTTTTTATTTACTTTTTTATTTTCACAGTAGGTTGCATTGTATATACTCTTGTTAATAATGCACCTGCTCTATGTAAAGTATATATCATTTTCCACATTTTTGTTCAATATATTTGATGTTGAATAGGACATTTACATGATAGTATTTTCATTACTGCAACAAAATTTGAGAAAAAGTTTTAAGCATAAAAGTGCAATTATTTCATCTGTGAACAAATTGTACAAAACTACAGGACATCCTCATCATTTGCTTCTTCAGAGTCCTTGTCAATTTCAACACAAGTCCAGTGAAACCACTTATCACACATTAAACACAATATGCTATATGCTTCTTTATCTTCAGCATTTTCTATACATTTACTCTTGCAAATTTTACATATGTACACTGGGGTTTTTCTGGTTTTTGTTTTCACAGACTTCTTTGCTTTTACTTCTGTACTGGTAGAAACTAGTGCCCTGTCATGATTGTTGGATTCGATTCTGCTTTTCAAAATACGCCTAGATATCAACTCACCTACGGTAAGTCTATTTAACCCTCTAATTCCACATCACCGTCTAGTGACGTAATAGGCTCAACATGAGACATTCAAATGTGGTCCAGACACAACACCTTACCAGGTTTTTTGAAACCAGCAAATTAAAGGCACAAACACTATGTGTTTAATTAAATCAACATGTATTAACTGCAAAGAACAATAAACTTGTTTATCAAACAACTTGTAACAGCATATTCAATGCAAAGTAGAAATTCGATCTGCACAATTTGCAGGAAACAGCTCTTAATGCACAAGTTGCAGTTATAAACAGCAT